TTGAGATCCGATTGCAGACTGTATGCTAGGGTAGAGGGTTGAGGACGAGTTAAGGGTTCTAGACTTGTATGCATCCAGAATTGTTCAGCAATGGCTGTTCTTGCAACATTTTTTATGTCATAATATGCGTAAGTTGTGAGAGCGGTTTGGGTATAAGTGCTTCAGCGTACGTTTCGGCAATTCGGCAAGGTTGCCTTTGCATTCAAGCAAATCGTCTTATCCTAAACCACTCGAGATCCTAGACCCTACCCTAAGGGTCCAGGTATCTCCTTAGGAGGTTCCGGAATCTCCTAGGGAGAGTCCTTGGGTCTCTTTGGGGTCTCAGAAGCCCTCAATTTTTAGGTTCCCTAAGTTGTTAGGACCCTGAGGGTAGATACTGTTATGGGGGATACTTCCCCAAATCATAAAGACACTCCTAGTATAGAAACCCTAGTCTCTACCAGAAAGGTACCCTTAAGGTAAACCCGAAATGCCGTAGCCTGAATGGGGAAGCCTACAGCTCGGGGCCGCTCGGGATCCAAGCGTGCACTGATCAGGCACGTTAGCTTAGGAGAATTCTGTCGCAGGTAGCATGTTGGAGAGTAAACCCTAAACCCTAAACCCTAAACCGATATGACTGTGATTGGCATTGTTGACTTGATATTGAGGACTGAGGGGATCACGGTTTCAAGGCGTGGGAAGGTTTAGGGTGTAGGGGCATGAGGCTTTGGGGCTTAGCAAAAAAAAGAAATATATACATAGGGCTGAAGATCAGCTCAGGGTTCGTGGTGCAGCGCAGTTTGGGATTAAGGATAGAAGAAAACTGAAGTGGTGTGTCATGGGGGTTCTATGGTTTCAGTGTTTATGGATAGAAACTGGAAGTAGGGGTTTGGAGTTTGAGATACGGTTGATGATAGAAATCCTGCATTACCCATAATAAGGAATATATGCCATAATTCCCATAGTTTAGGGTCCTGGAGGTATTGCAGGATTTCTATCATCAAGCGTAGGATTCCGGGTAGAGGTCGGACAGTCCAACAACAGATACTGGTGCAAATACCTGCCGCTTCGCACGCATGTGCATCATTCTCAATATTATTCTCAATGCTCGGTTGTGTTGCGGTTTAGTGTACCTTAAGTACATAGCACACTTTGCTCTGTTAAGTTGCCTTTCACGAGCTGCTTCAGGATTCTTGTGTTGTGGTCCTGTCTTCTGCTGGTCTGCCGCGATGAAGAGCCCAGCGGCTGCCCTTTCTCCTTGTGTTCTTGCCAGCACATCCCCTGCCTGCGCAAAAGCAGCGCCAACTTCTGCCAGCCAGTACGCCCTGACCGGCTGCTACGGTTGATGACATAAATCCTGCACTACCTATAATCAGCAATATACCATAATTCCCATAATTTAGAGTCCCTAAGGTAATGCAGGATTTACATCATCAACCGTAGCTTGTCATGTGCCCGCCTCGCACCTGCGGCGTGCTCGCTGGCACCTAGTGTCGGTGACGTGGGCTCTGGTAGCATTCGCCTAGCCCCCTGAGCTGCGCGCTCAGGTTCCAGTTATCATGTTATCTTATCTTGTTCTAGACTGAATATGCTGGATTATATGTAGTTATACTATATATATATATATATATACACATATATATATATATATATATATATTGATATTGCAATATGCTTTATTATATACCATAGTATACCACCATGTGGGAGCGAGGGTTTTCCCCAAAGCCGCGGCGGTTTTCCCTCGCAGCATCTCAGAAAGGCATCTCCTTAGGAGGGTCCGGAATCTCCTAGGGACCCAGAGAACCCAATACCCCTTAATTCAGGAATATACCTTAAATCATAGGGGCCTTAATATAATGATTTAAGGTATATTCCTTAATTAAGGGGTAGTGGGATCTCTGGAAAGAGTCCTTGGGTGTTCTTGTGGGGTCTCAGAACCCTCAATTTTGAGGTTCCCCAAATTGTTAGGACCCTTAGGGTGTACATCAGATCTTCGGATCCGAAAGCCGTACTACGTAGGATCCCGCAGAGCCCTACTACGGTTAATGATAGAAATTCTGCATTACTTCAAGGACCCTAAACTATGGGAATTATGGTATATTCCTTACTATGGGTAATGCAGGATTTATATCATCAACCGTATGGGGGGCCTTAAAAATTAGAATAGGCTTCCTTTAAAGTTGTCATAAGATTTCCTTTAAGGTTTCTATAAGGATCTCTGTAGGGACCTTGGTAATTAGAATAGGGTTCCTTCAAATGGGGTCGATAAGGCTTTCTATAAGGGCTATTATAAGGATTTCGTATAGGGGCCTGAATGATTGCCACGACAGTTATTTTGGGGGTTCCTCATTATAAATACGGTATGACATACCCCAAGACCCTATTCTAATTGTTAAGGCGCCTTTATTGTGGAAATTCAGAGCTGCATCGCAAGAGGCACCGAGCACTGCCTATCCTGGTCAAGATCCGTGTGTGCCTCAGAGACAGTCCCGACACTAGGGTGTTGAGGGTTCAGGGGTTACTGAGTATTGGTATAGGGTCCAGATGGGTTTAGCGATCTGATGCAACTGGAAAGTTAGATGATACCTTGCCTATTTAGGTGTATGGCACCACCCAGCCCCCACCCTAGGACAAAATCAATCTTAAGATCTCAGCCCCACTACTAGGATATCCACCCCAAGATCCCGGCCCAAGTTACCATCCTGGAACACATGGACCCTAAGGAACCTACCTTTTCAGGGCCCCCTATTATGATTTCTTTATACAAGTCCCTAAAAAGGTAGGTTATTTGGGGTCAATGCAATCCTTACCCCATGCGAGGCCTTAGCACCTCTCATTCGAAAAAACCCTTATCCCAATACCTTGGGTACTGCCCCTACTCAGTAACAGTTGGATAATATTCATAATATAGATATATAAGGACCTTAATAGTAGCCCTCTTCTAGACTGTTACTGTATGGGGGCAGTACCCAACCAATACCTGACAAGGGGGTCATATTAAGTTCCAATCCGTGGGGTTGGACTTGGTGTCGTCCAGTGTGGGGATGTGCCCTGACACCGCGGTCTCGAGGCACACCATCCCGTCCTAAAACATGCTGAACGGTGCAACTGACTTTTGGCCGAGGGTCCAGAATATTATTTTTGCTCACTCAGTGGTTCTGCGAACGATCATGACGAACGTGTTGGACAACGACCGCGACGATCACAACATGCTGTTTCAGGAGTGACATGCTGCTGTTGTTTTGTCTCTGTCCTTGTTGATGTTTTCCGCATGCTGCAAGTTGCCGGCGTTCTTGCCCTCTGGCACTTATCTTGCTTTCCTTACCTTGGCTTCCACTTATTGTAGGATCCGAATCAACAAAGCTATAAAGTTCAACTTAGCAAAACAAGCCGCCCTGCGTCCCTGAAGATGGGGCTGCAGGGCGCCGTGGCCTTGGGTTCGCGCGTAGGACCCCAAGCCTAAGCCTTTTCAAATCTCCATTTGGGTGGTTGTCAACATTATGGTCCCTTTTTGGGTCCCTATTCTCATACGGCACCTATTATTTAGGGTACCCCAAAAGGGACCATAATTTTGACAACTACCCATTTGAAAGATCTGCTTCTGGTTTCCTAAACCTTCGACCCTAAACCTCAAGGCCTTTTGGCCTTTCGTCGAGGGATTCCTCTGCAGACAGAAAAAAGTGGTTTAATAACAGAAAACCTCAAGGCCTTACCAAACCTGGCACGAAGGTCGTCGCGATGCTTTGCTGGACCCCCTTTAGTGGGTATACGAGGCAAGACATTTCTTGCTCTGATTCGATAGGTTGCAAGGATTTTATGGAGTTGTTCGTTGCATGAGTCGTTTCGAACTTGCAGGTGGTTGAAGTTTGTTTTTATTATGTGACCTTCTGTTGATGTTCTTCATAGGCTGCGTTCACGTACCAAGTCTGCCCATAGGTCCTTGTTGTTGGCGATCCTAAGCAAGGCTGGCGTCAAAGCTTAGACTGCGATGTAACGACAAAGCTCCAAAACGACAACCCCACCATCCCCAAACCCATGGAAATCAATGAGGCTCCAGATGGGGACTTCCGAAAACAGGGGATACCTTATAGTTCCTTGAAAGGGCTACTACAAGGGTACTATAAGGGTTCCTTTAAAGGGCTTTGTATGGGTTTAGAATTTCCGAAAGTAGGAGACCCTAATACCTGAGACCCTCAACCCGAAGCCCCGCGAAGCCCTGAACCTCATGCCCGAACAACATGTCTGAATATGCATGCCATAATCCGGTGCAGCTGCGACGCTTGGTCTCCCTAAGCTCCGTGCCAGTGAAATCTTTGCCGGTAAGTGTACATTGAAAGAGACAGTGCAGAGGAAGAGACATACCATAGGGGCCCGAATAGTTACCAGTACTATTTTGGGATTCCTTATTATATGTATAGTATAATGTGCCCCAAAACCCCAATTCTATTCATTCAGGCCCCTATCTTACAGGCATATGGAAGTCACGTGGACGTACAGACACAGCGACATAGAGACACAGACACGTAAAAGCCGAAAGACCAACAGACACATGGACACATCGCGACGTTTGTGGTGCTTGTTAAACTGAGTTTGTGGCGGGGGATTACGGCGAAGGTTCCCGCAACACCATCCTACTTTCAACATAAAAGCTGCTTGAATCTGAAAGCCGCAGCGCAGCACGAACTCCAAATCTCGCCATTGGCTCGACCAGCGCGCCCGCCCGAGTAGGCGCTTTCAGGAAGCCTCTTAGATCTCACAGCATGGGCTTTAACGTTAAAGACATTCAGGTCTACAGCTGTCACTTAATGCAATGAGCGTATTCCGTAGGTTACGTGGACTCGCGTGCTTTTCGGTCACATGTTACTACTCACGGCCGCTGCATTTGCATTCCTAGAAGACGCTGGTTGTGTCTACATACGTTGCTGCATCATGATGATGAGCTGTTAAGTAAGCTTGCACTTCTGCTTACTTGGGGATCCTTTCAACGGTGCCGCCCGTTGACACCTCACGAAGACACCATGGATCTGTGCCTTGGCACATGCCCATACATGCCTAAACTATACTGTAAATCCCTAAACCCGAAGCTCCATCTGAGGTTCAGGGTTTGGGGGTTCGGGTGTGGAGCCTAGGAGGAAGTGGCTCAGGGTTTGGGGAGTTTAGGGGCTGTCGACAATCGATGTGCATTCAAACCTAGGGAAGGCATGACGCCAGAGTGCATGTGACTGCCTGCTCATCACTGTTCCCATCTTGGGTAAAGTTCCCAGGTCAGCAGTGCGGCGACATGCCGGTAGGTCTTGAAGTAAGGCCGCGATGCCCTTAATTTTGCAATCCTTGAAAGTTCCTGGTGTCAGGGACTCCGTTGCGGCCATGTTGAGATCGTGAACCCGGCTGATATAGGGGCAATAATATTTACAAATTATTTTGGGGGTTCCTTGTTATAGTTATAGTACAATATGCTCCAAATCCCTCTTGTAATTGTGAGAAGCTGGTAGCCCTTAAGGCCAGCGCGTTTCGTTGGTAGGGGCAGCCTGATGAGTGGCCAGCGCGGGTGGGCAGATTATATCGACCAGGTATAGGGTCATGCACTAATTATTACCTGTATCCCCAAACCCTACAAAATACTAGGTTATGGCCCCTTAATTAGAGGGTCTGACCCTGAAAACGGTAGGTTTTTGGATCCAGAGGTAAGGCCCCTACAGCATCGCTCTGTGCGCAAACAGCCATCAACACTGAAGCCCCGCAGCTAAACCCTAAACCCTAAACCCTAAACCTCGCAAAGTCAGCGCTTCAATTTCGCCCCCGTCCCGCACTCAAAAAGCAGACCTGAAGGACCAAATGACCCTTAAAAGTATAGGGCCCTATACCCATATACTATGAATCCCTATATGGTATATGAACCCTTAAACCCTTCTAGGGTTTGTTTCGTCCTGAAGGGAGGGCACCCTTCGGGTCAAGAAGCCCCGCCCCCAACAACAACAACCACCGCACTATGAACCCTGAACCAAGCCCAGTCAACCCTCGCAGAAGCAGCGATAAATTCATGGCGCATGCTTAGATGAACAGGCGACTTGGTAAGTAGGCCGTCGCTGGAGTTATAAGTTAAAGCACAAATGACCCAATTCGGGCACATGTGAAAAGATTTGGGGTTTAGGGTGTGTAGATTCCATCTTGCCTACATTCTTCAGCCTCACGAGCCCCTACATCCGGACCCTCTCGGGGCAAAAGCTTCTCTAAGGTGCCTTCAGATGTCCGCTATGGGCATGCGAAGTGGATGCCGACTCTGCCTGGAAGCTTGGTATCTACCCAAAGGCTCCACAGTAGTTCCTTTTTGGGATTACCTTTTCGGATTCCAAACATGAACCCCAAAAAGGAACTACTATGGAGGCCTAGGGTAGAATCTAGAATATCTAGATCAATCTAGGTTCTTCAGGGGTACCTTTTTGCCCTTGCTGTTTTTTGAGAGCGGTATATTTTGAAGGGTCCCCTTTATAAACACGGAATAGTAGGATAAAGGACACACTCATTATCTAGGCTCGTGAGTAGCTCCTTCATGTCAGCTTCTAAATACAGGGGTACTCTGGAACCTAGATCTAGTTCTGTAGGAAGGGCTTTGTAAGGGGTTGGCAAGAAATCCAGAAGGGCTTGATGGGCTTTACAAGGGTTCAAACAGCCTTAACAACATGCTTTATCCAGGTTTCTAACATAGCGGTCCCAACAATTGAAACTACGATGTTTTTTGTAGGGTGGGGGGGATAGATCACCATAATAACAAACATAGAAGGACTGCAAGGTAATGAGCTAATTACTCGAGATCCCATCGAAATTGATGTTTAGGGTTTATCGGGGGGGGGTTCAGGGTTGTCCTTTGGGATTTTGTTTAAGTTTCCTCACTATTTTGTAGAGAACCATCATAGTAATTTTTAATATTTTTCAAAGGGCTCAAAGGACAATTCAGCCCATGTGGGTTCAGGGTTGTGAGGGTTTGGGGACCGCGAGTTTTGGCGCGGTATGCTGCTGCTGTGGTTCCCTCTCTGGTGGCTCAAGGGAGATGCTGCCCCAGCAATCCGAATGGGTGGTTGTCAAAATTAGGGTAGGTGCCGCACTATATTAGGGACCCAAAGAGGGACCATAAGTTTGACAACCACCCAAATAATGATCAATAAAGTTTGTCTACAACCCCCAGATCGAACTCTGATACCCTACGAAAGCTCTCGAACCCTGTAAAACCCTTAAACAGAACCTTCGATATCGCTTCAAACCCCTTTACAGGAAGAACGATCAAAACCAAACTCCTCGAGCTGGGCTTGGACCAGGGCTTAGCATTTGGGATTTCTTTGTTGTTCTTGCTTTAGGTTTCTGTTACTCATCAGGTGTAGGTCATGGCTTTGGAGTCTTGCAGGACGCCTCAAGATACCCTTATAGCCTCTTAGTGGGTCTAAGTTGGGCATAATTCAGGGTTTAGGGTGTATGGTCTTCGTCTTCGGGTTTGTGCTCCAGGTCAATGCTGTAAACCCCTATACAAGCTCTGCACCCCTCGACGCCAAATCCCTGAGCCCTAGCTTTGGGAAAATCCTCGGTCTGGTCAGGCTGTTGTTCCAAGGGGAAAAGGAGGGACCCGTAACAAGGACCCCTAGGTATATACCCTTTAAACATAGCTGTTATAGTTCTCATAGCCCATTATAGGGTAGGGGTCCCCATTAAAGGTCCAGGCGGGGGTCCTACGGTTGATGATATAAATCCTGCACTTCCCGATACAATAATTGCATATAATTCCCATAGTTTATTGAGGTATTGCAGGATTTAGATCATCAACCGTAGTATAGTACACATGACCCAGTAAGCTGAGCTTAGTCACCGGGGTTCTCAGGATGTGTTGACTGTCGGGTGTCTGACGATTCTGTTGTAGAGGCCAGTTCCACAGACTCATAATGGTCAAACGACGTAGGGTTCCGGGGTTTGGAGGTCTAGTCTCCACCGTAGTCACTCACTTTCACCACCTAGTTTTGTTGAAGGATCCTGACGATAGAGCTGGTCTGCCAAAACAGGCAAACACACTGGAAACTCCCTTCTTTTTTGGTGGCTTCTGTCTTGTTTAGGATATGTCTGCGTAGCATCCCCCAGGAGCCCTCGGACGACTAATGCCAGAAGCCCCCCAAACACTGTGTAAGGTTGAGTGGTTAGGCTTGGGTTTAGGGGTTACGGGTTTAGGAGGATTCATGTCCAGAGGCCTGTGTAATGTAGGAACCTGATGAAGAAACCCAGGGCCTATTAACCCAAAAATAGTAGCATTCGTATAAGGAGCCCCTAGTAAAGGCCCAAAGTGTCTTGATCAGGTTCCTACGCTACACATCAAGATAAGCCCTCACCACCCAGGAAATCGTAAACAAAGGCAGCCTCAACCCCAACTAACCCTGAACCCACAAACTCTTGTCGAAGGCTTGGGGAGCACACGTGAAAAATCGAGCCCTCTAAGCCTTAGCTTATAATGGCCTGAGCTTAGGGCAACGCTTAGAGGAGTGCTTAAAGCAGCACTCATAGGGCTTTTGGGTTTGATGAAGGCAGTCAAATCCTTCAAACCCTCCAGCCCAGGACACGCTCCCATTGCAAGCCGAAGCTCTTCACCACTACCGCGCACTGCTCAAGTCCTGCTTGGTGCTTGGCCTGCATTAGGGTTTAGAGTTCAGGGATGTTCAGGCGTTTACTGTCCAAGGTCTAGGGTCTAGGGTTTAGGGATGTTTAGGATCTAAAGTGTCCAGGATCTGTAGGGTTAAGGGTTTAGGCTTGCCTTGAGGGTCATGGAAGACTTTTCGGGGGCCCAGGCGGCAGGTTTTTTTGGGGATTTCTGCAGCCTCCAACAGGGGGCATCTGGCCCTACTGTTGATGATGTAAATCCCGCATTACCTCAAGGACCCTAGAAAATGGGAAATATGGTCTATTCCTGATTATGGGTAATGCAGGATTTATATCCTCAGCAAGAGTTCCTGGGTATTTCGGCTTTCGGGTTTAGGGGCATCTGGCCCCTAGTTGGGGTTTAATTAATGCAGGTAGAGATGGATGGTCTAGGGTTGAAGCGGCCCCTAGAGTCAAAATCTCGTTTTCTGAGACTACCAGGTACCTATATGGAGGTTTCAGAACACGGACGGGAACTGGTTGCAACACCCTGATCATGTTTTCAAGTTCTTTATGCGGGCCCCTCTGTGAGAATGGCCGTACGCTGAGCTAAGATGATTTTCTACATTTTGCAACGGTACCCTGCACCACGAAGCCGTCGCCCCAACCCTAAACCGTAAACGAGGTTGGATTTTGGGACATTTCTTGTTTTCCGCATTTGGGTTTATACGGGACCCTATATATAAATGTTGTTCATTGTGTTTCAAGGCCAACCCAGTAAACCCTTTCTCTCAAGCCACTCTTTTGCAGGAGTCTGTTCAAGGCGATGTGGAGGAGATGCAATCTGTAGGCGGGCTTGCACACGAACATACGGGTTTGCTCTAAAATTCAGCAGCACTATGTCAGGGAGCTCTCTAATTTGGATCGGGCTCCGCCTGAAGTTCCCCCTTGAAGCCCCCTACTGAGCTTTAGCCTTGCCCCAAATCTTTACGCCTAAACCGTTGAACCCTAAACGCAGCTACCGGAGTCATAGGTTTAGGATGGCAATTCTAAGCCCGACTCTGGAGGTGACGGCAACTTTTAAGCTTCGTACAACCTCCATCCACGCTCTCAAGAACCCGGGCCGTGTCGCCCTGTTTCCCCATTTGAGGGGAGGAGGAGGTTGCTGGTTGACTCGTACCGAACATCTGTATCAAGTTGAAACTGATGGCACGTTAGAAAAATCTTGCAGCCTTTGACCCTTAGACCCTCAGATCCTTCGCTCGCCGGTGCGACTTTTGGGAGTCGTCTTGTTCTGAAGCCTGAATCGACCCAATAGTGTTGTGGGAGTAGGGTTCTGCAAGGGTCCGGCAGGGTTTTGACTATGCGTCTTGGCGTGCAGGATTAAGGATTGGTGGTTTAGTTTCAGGGTTCAGGGTTTCGGAGTTCAAGATACCAAGATACTGCAAAAGTCCTTGATGCTGGTATGGCTCTTGAATCATACATGGAGGTTTAGTGTTATAGCCCTCTTCCTTTTTCTACGTCTGCTAAACTCCCAAACTCTCTGCTACTCGTAAACTGCTAAACCCTACCAAATCCCGAGAATAATTCCTAGGCTTAGAATCCAATCCGGAAACCCACTCTAAATCAGAGAGCCCAAAACCCCTCAAACAGTCACAGATGCACTTTTTCCGAAAGCTTCATTCTTAAACCTAAGTCGGACTTGAACCTGCAAGGCTCAAGCTAAAAAATAATCTGGAACCTGATCAAGAAGCCTTGGGCCTTTGTTAGGGTTCCTTACATGAATCCTACTATTTTGGGCTGAAAGGACCAGGGTTTCTTAATCAGGTTCCTGCATTAAGCTGGAGATCCTGAACCCGTCGCTGAGGGCGCGACAACCGCCACAGCAGAGCGGCCCTAGCCATATCGGCCGCGCATGGTACTCGTACGGTATGTGTTCAATAGAAGAGAGCAATCGTTCGTGATTCCCATGTCGATTATGCTTGGACCACGTTTCAACATGACGGCCCCATGTCTAAGTTCCAGTTGGGACCCCAAGACGACTTTCGAACTATACCTTAAACTGTTTGAAGTCGTGGCGGTCTTAGGGTGGGCAGCTTGCTACGTGCGACTTGGGCGTGCACACGCCAGCGAGCTCCCATGACGTCACCACACTCTATAGACCCTACCTGTAGCCGGAAAGACCTATTATGTTTTCTATATATTAGTTCCTTAAAAGGTAGGTCTTTTCGGCTACAGGTAAGGGAGTTCCTGAACCGAGCCCTTTTTGCAGAGGCATCCTGCACCAGAAGCTGCAGGAAGTCGAGTGCATGCAGTACCGTCTGATCATGCCGCTGGGCTTGGTATTTTATTGCTGCTACTACGGTTGATGATATAAATCCTGCATTACCTTAAAGACGTTAGACTATGGGAATTGTGGTATTTTCCTAATTATGGTAATGCAGGATTGATATCATCAACCGTACCAGTTGTGTTACTGGTACTGTTTGTCACGGATTTGTTGAGGGGCTGTTATAACCTGTTACACTTTAACTTGCTTGCTGCTGTCTTTCAGTGTTAGTGTTTCTTTCAGGTGCTTTAGGTTGGGGGTGTAGGCGTTTTAGTGCTGTTCAGACCGTCGTGAAGGATGTTTAGGCTTTCTTAGTTCTCTTGCTCTGCGGGCTTTTCTGTAGGGTTTAGGGTTTAATTTAGGGTTTAAGGTCGGAAGATCGCTTGGGATTGTGCCAGGGATGTTTCAGAGTTTTGGGGATCAAGGTTAAGCTTTGAGGGTTGGCTTTTGGGTGTCTTGGCTTCAAAGAAGCTGGCTCTGGGGTGGAAGGGAAGCACAGCGCAAACAGAACAGAGGCACATCCTCAGGTCCGTCTTTACGCCAGGTGCTCTTGGGGTAGTCTACCGGAGCTGGTAGACGGGGTTTACATCGGGTACGGCCCCCATTCAGTAATAATTAGTTGAAGAATACTCATAGTATAGATATATTAGGACCTTAGTAGTAGCCCTATTATAGACTCTTGCTGTATGGGGGGCAGTACCTAAGGTTTACAGCGAATGGGCTCAACACCGGCAGTTCGGGATGACCGGCTCTTGCTTCCTCTGACTGTAGATGACCGAAGATGTCTAGTAATTAGTCCCTAAACCTTAAACCCTAAACCCTAAGTATCCATGGGGCCCTTGCTCGTTCAGGGTTCAGGCAAGCAGTGCTGCTAACTTTGCGACTCGCAGAAGTTTCAGGTTTAGAAAAATTCGCAAACGAAACCCTACAGACTTCGGGCAGTTAATATAGGGGCAGAAATAGCAGAAATACGTGCTAATACTTTTTTTTGGCGGGGGGGTTCGTTACAAATATAGTATAATGGGCCCCACAACCCTATGCTAATTGTTAAGGCCCCTATAATACAGCAACTGGTGCTTGCATTACTATACTGCTCCCGGACGTAACAGCCCCAGGCTCCTTTCCACCCGCCAAACAATAAGCATAGATGCCCAGGAAGGAAGCCGGGAAGGAAGATCAGGAGGTTCTCGCACCGATCCCAGATAGTACTGCAGTTCAGGACTGGGTGGTTTTAAAGTAGAAGCCAGAAAGAAGGAACATGGCTTTGGGAGGATTAGTGCTAGGATCCGTTATACTTTACTTTAAGGACATGAGGATGATGATGTTCCAACTTCCTGGCTTCTGCTATAAAGGCTTTCATGGAGTTTTGCGTGTTTCGGGGCTCAGGCGTTAGATGTCCTATAGAGAGGGTTTCGACTGAGGCTCGAGGCAGAGCGGCCAAGCGCATGCTTTGCTTCCTACGGCCCGCTCAATTATAAGCCATGCCCCACGTTAAGTATCATCATCTCAGGCCCTTAACGGCCTTCTTGGAATTGTTTAGGGTTTAGGGTTTAGTGAGTGCTCCGGTCTGATGACGCTTGTGTTTTCTCGGCTTTCCAGCACTACCCAAAGATATGGGGTACGCATATCTTTGGGTTGTAGCCGCGGAAACCTTATGCCAGCTGTCTGAAGACACCCTCATCCCTTGAACCATACACTGGTAACCTCAAGCAGCCAGCACCTTAAGCCCTTCATCCGTCCCATTGAAGCAACCAGGTGACTTCAAGTAAAAGCTCCAACCCCTACAAGCCCTTAGACCCTAAGCTCTCAAGCCTAAGGTAAAAAAAGCCAGAAAGTTGGAACATGATTATCCTAACCCTTCTATGGCAAACTATAGGGTATCCAACCATGAAACCATATTCCAACTTTCTGGAGTTTCCTATAAATCCTGAGCCCAAAGCCCTAGAACCTACATCCGAAAACTGCACCCAGCTAGGTCGGAAGCACGGCGCTGGCCGGGCGAAGCCCGCCCTCTGGCTGAGACGGAAGAGGTTTAGGGGTTTAGGGTTGACGGCGGGTTTAGGGGATAGGGTTTAGGTTTTTAGGGTTTAGGGTTTAAGGGTTAGGAATTACAGCTTAGCGTACGAGGTTTAGGAGTCTGGCACCCGTCAATCAGGTTTACTAGTCTGGTTGTCGTATTTAGTCTTATGTGTACATACATGCATACATCGTGCATACATACGCACACATACATAAATGCACACATTAGTTGTTCATGGCTGTTCATGGCTGCATTTGCTTGTTTCTGCATTTAGGAATAAGTAGTTTTGGTTTCGGATGTAGGGTTTAGGGTTGGTGAGTATCTTTGGGTGATGGTGAGTGTACGTAAAACCTTCGGGACAGTGGCAAGCGAAGCAGCCCGTTTGCCCGGATGCTTTAATGAAGCTTCGTTCCATTCCATGTTCAAGTTAATGCATCTTCAGGGCGTTGTTAACAATTAGGTGGTTCACTTGAGCTCGATTGCATGTATGTATGTATGTATGTACGTATGTAATCATGTATGTATGTGTGCCTCTACATGTAGCTCTTGCTTTCGATATATATATATATAACATTTATACACATATTCATATGTGTGTGTGTACTTAGATAGCTAGATGGTGGATACATAGATAGATAGAGAGAGGGAGAGGGAGAGAGAGAGAGAGAGAGAGAGAGAGAGAGAGAGGGAGCAAGCGAGAGAGGGGGCTCCATCTTTGTGAATGTACATTTAGGGTTTTGTCACGGGAGACTGGCAGTACAAATCCTACTGCATATTTAATTGCAAAACTAGAGCCAGATCCCATTTTGATGGAAAAGAACCCGTAACATGCATAGAGCCTGAAGTGCTGTACCGTTATTAACCTGCAACATGTATGTAATGGTCAGGGGCTAAGCGCAAGCGTGCCAGCAAGTGACCCTTAACCAAAAACCCTTAACCCAAAATCCTCCTCAGCCCTGGAGCTCTAACCATCCAGCCATGAAGCTCTAAGCGCGGACCCTCATCCCCTATGACATGGCGAAGGGATGCCTCAGACAACACCGGTAAGCCGCTTAGAAACACCTCTAAGAATCTGAAGCCTCAGGCTGGGCCGCATCATGGCCCGAGCCAACAGCAAATCAAGCAACGGAAAGAGGTGCCATGTAGGTTTAAGGGTCAGGGGTTTAGGGTCTTGGGGGCTTCGCGTCAAGGATCTTCGGCCGGCGTTGGTGTTGTTGCCGTTCCGAGTTGGATTGGTTGCGGTAAGGGTTGACTTTGATTTCGGGGGTTGCTGGCTTAATTCATAGCGGGGCCAAAATGACTGCCATCCAGTATTATTGTGTAGATACGCTTCTGAACCCTAAACCCTAAACCCCAAAACCTAATTTATCCGAAGCTGGATTCCCATTCAGTCTCCTCATATGGGAGTTTCCGACAATAAGCATCCCAAATAGTAGAAGCGTTATTATAAGGACGCCAAGATAAGGTACACCGAATTTTCGGAAACTCTAAACCCTAGCCCCTACACCCTTTATAGAACCCTTAGATCTTTTTAAGGAACCCTTACAGGATCCCTTTAAATGTACCCCCCAATTTAGCGGAAACTCCCATTTATGGTCTCCGGAGACTGTATCATCTGACGGGCTTCGCTGCCATAGCATTCAAGCTTGTAGGAACCTCAATTCTAGGGTTTGGGCCTTTGGGTTTAGGGTTCTGTACCACAACGGTAGCAGCTTCTCATGTAAAAAAACATGCACAGGCCCCTTATAAGACCCTCCCAAATCTCCCGAAACCTAGCAGGCTCATAAAGCCCTTTGGTCCTTTCAAACGAAAACCTCCTTCTGGGTCTTTCCCGGACTCCACAGTGGTTATTGGGGGTGTCTTAGTGTTGTGGGTTTGGATCTGTCAGTTGTCAATTTTGGGTTCAGACTTCACGTGCTGCTTTGTCTTTAAGTTCAGCCGCATATAAGTCGCCGCAGGAAAACAGAAGATGGTTGCCGAAACTGGAGTAGAGTTCAAAGGGCAGATGAAGCCTTGTAAGCAAGCAATGAACCCTGAGCTCCTCTTGACAATGTTTTGGGAATTTAGCTTTTAGAGTTTTGAGGGTTTAGGGGTTCAGAGTTTATGGTTTAGGGCTTAGGGTTCCTTCCGTGCCAACGCCCCAACAGGAGGACAAGCAGCGTGTCAGATCCCATTGACGAAACTGCAGAGACGGCCCTGGATTTGGACCAGGAGGGGTTTGGGGGTTTAGGGTTTAGGGGTTTAGGGGTTTAGGGTTTAGGGATTTAGGGGTTTAGGGGTTCAGGGTTTAGGGTTTAGAGTTTGGGGGTTTAGGGGTTTAGGGTTTAAAAGTTTAGGGTGTCTGCACCCTCACAGATCACACCAAACCCTTGCGGGAGCCCTCATTTGAAGGACGTCTAACTTGATATTACGGTTACCTTTTCGATAATCCCTGACCAATACTATTCTTGGGGGGTCCTTATTATAGTTATAGTATAATAATACCCTCAAACGCTATTTGCCTATTCCAATTATCAAGGCCCTTATCTTACAAAATCTTATCATCTCTGTATACATTTTAAGGAAGCTTAACCTGAAATTACTAAACCCTGCTAATCGATAAACCTTAACCTACAAATTCTTATCATCTCTGCTGATCCACCAGTCTATGGCATGATTAGAGCCTCTTCCGCTCGGCACCCTTGAACCACTTCTGGAATCTTGGCTTGTCCCAGTCGCAGGAAGACAGATTTGTCAAGTGGGAAACGCTCTGGCTCATGCGTATGCCTCGGAAAAAAATGAGAGAACGCAGTTGCAGGTCTCGGTTTATCTCCTTTGCCAGTTTGCCAACGAGTTCATGCAGAAGTTGCGAGTCTCCACGAACTGGGACATCCCAGTAGGTGGCCTCAAACGTACGTTGCAGGAAACCCGGCCGGACTTTGCAACTTTTTCGTCGACGTTGCATCTGGGGTTGGAGAGATGGCAGCTCGGGTATTTTCCTGCCTGGACCTGCAGATGAGGCGTGTATTCCAGAACCTGGACCACATGCGATTGCCTCCGCCTCGATGGCTCCTACCACTATCGCACACGCTGCGTGCCGCAGTTTTGCTTTCTTGTTTGGCTTAGGGGAGAAGGAGACAAGTCTCGGTTATGTATATGTAGGTGTACATTCATGTGTATATATATATATATACACACATGCATGAGTATATGTATATATACATATCTATATTATATATATACACACACATATATATATATATATATACACATACATACATCTGTGCACAAATGTACACATCTATCTATTCAATCCCTACTGAAGAAGGGTTACGTTACAGACAACGCAAGCCACGATTCGACCTCGTTAGGCTCCGTAGTGAGTGCACTGATGTGTGAGGACGACCCCTTCACCACGTTGGTATCTCCGAATCCGAGCATCGGGTGCGATGACTCTGGCATGGTCTGTGAACTCAGCCAATTCGGGTCCTTCTTTGGTTACCCTACTCTGAAAATTGCTCTGCAAGGACCCCGAGCCCTAAGCCTATGGTGGTATTCCTAAAGAAAGGTATTCGAGTTTTCAGTCTGAGACGCCACGAAGCTCCTATAGATCGTGTAAACCGGCCCTGGCCCAGTCCTCTGTTTGGGGATTTGTTTCAAGGTTCTGAAGAACTGGAAATATGTACTGGTTCGAAGGCCCTGTATATTGCTACGATGACATACCCACAAACCCTATACCAGTGGAGGCCCGGACACATTTCTGAATCCCACACCCAAAATCCGAAAACCCGCCTCGGCACCGCAGAAGACTTCCCTATGAGAGAAGAAGCCCCAAACCGTAAACCCTAAACCGCTAAACCCTAGACCCTAAACACGGTCCGGTAAAATGATAATAGGATCCTAAAAATGATTTAAGGCATATTGCGGCATATTGCTTAATTGAGGGATATTAGAATCCACTAAACCCTATACCTTACAGATCCCTGACATGAACCCTAGGTTGTAAGACTTGGTCTGCTTTTGGGTCGGGGTCAGAGTATTTTTTTCGTGCCTAGTGATCATAAAATAGGGACCCTTAGGGGGGTAGGGGGAGAGGGGTAGGGCCGGGTAGGGGACTATACTTCCTTAAACAGGCCTTATTAGGTCCTTATTATGGGCACAGAAAAGCAAGAAACACCGTATGTATATGTATATGTATATATGTATATGTATATGTATATGTATATGTATATGTATATGCATATGTATATGTATATGTACATGTACATGTATATGTACATGTACGTGTACATGTACATGTATATGTATATGTATCACATATGAGTATGTGTATGTGTATGTGTATGTGTATGTGTATGTGTATATATATATATGTATACACATGATATAGTGAAATACAGTATATGATTTAACATAGTGTACGATTTTTTCCGCAGCCTCTCCTTAAGAAAGTCATCGTGTGCTGTATACCTGAAAGCCTTGATTCCAATCAATAAGGCCCATACAAGGTTTGTCCTTATATTACTTGGCATCACGGCACCTGCATCTCCGAATAACTTCGGCTAAGAGTCCGAATCTGAGATTCAACACCGCCGAGTAACGAATCAACAAACAAGTCAGAGTAGAGATTGTAGGATTTCAGAGTTTTCCGTTGTTTCGGGCTCCAGGTCTTTAGATTCAGGGTGCAATGCCATACGCCAAAAGCAGCACGAAGAGCAGCATCCGCTGCGCAAACAGCACTAATTACTATAGGGGCCTAAATACTTACCTTTACTATCTCGTGGTTTCCTCAGTATATTTATAGTATAATGGGCCCCAGAACCCCATTCTAATTATTAAGGCCCCTATACGAAATCTTGCTCCCTTGTAGTAGCTCGTATAGACGCCGAGGAAGGTGCCCTATTCTAATATCCACTGCGCAAGAAACTAGCTAGAGGCTCCATAGTAGGTCCTTTTTGTGGTATATATTTACAATCCTATAAGGTTATCCCAAAAAAGGAGCTACTATGGAGCCTATCGGTAGCTGTTGCAAGGATCGCGCATGAGCTGGCAGTTCTCGGAGACTGGCCTACACTCATCGTTCATTCGCATAAAACATGGGCTTTAACAATTAGAAAAGGGTTCCTTTAAGGGGGTCTATAAGGGTTACTATTACTGTAAGGGATCCATAAGAGTACTATCGTCTAGGGGCCTCAATAGTTAGAACAGGGTTTTGGGGCCCGACATACTATAATTACAATGAGGAAGCCACAAAATAGTATCGGTTATTATTCGGGCCCCTATAGTAGCAAGATGCAGCAAGCTCTTGATTTACCTTTGCAACCATCACTTCCTAGCCGCGGCCTGAACTGTACATCGGGCCTTAACAACAAAAGTCAATTGTATTCATGAATACGTTATATACTAATCATCATGATCACTGTAACTATAGCCATCATTTAATCATCATGATCGCTGTAATCATAGCCATCATTTAATCATCATGATCGCTGTCATTGTAACCATCATTGATCCCAGCTGCTGAGAAATCGCCTGGAAGCAGCACCAGCGAGGATGCTGGCAACGAGGAAGCCTGTTTTTTTGGCAGGGGCTTGTTCAGAGTTTTCGGGTTTAGGAGGGGAGTCATCTGACAGGTCCTCCGTTCATTGGTACGTCCTGTAATCCTACATCCGTAAATCCAAACCCTAAACCTTCAACCCTGAACCCTCAGTTCCTGAATCAAACTTGGGATCCAGGGGCTGAGACCATCTGCGTTGTCGAATGGGAAGAGGTGTTAGCATTCTGGTCCATACGTAAATCTGCGGTGATATACCCCAGCACCTTGTTCGAATTATGAACGCCCCTATGCTAGAGTTTTTGGGTCTGGGGTTGTATTTGGGAGCTTCAACAACATAGGAGCCTTAACCGAGACCTTTTGAAGTTGAACTTGCGCCGGGCAAGAGAGGAATAGGTGGTGTAGGAGATTCTGTACTATCTAAAGCACCCCACGATAGGTGGATTGTGGTAGGCTGTAAAGTTGCTTCTTACCTTCTTTCGTCGGACTGCATTGGTGTCTCGGGTCTTGGGTATGATCACTACAGCTTTACGGTTTGCAGTTTAGGCGTGAAGGTTCAGGGTGGCGGTTAGTGTAGAAGTTGTTATTGGGGCTTGAAACGTCTTGACTCGTTTGCGTCTGCTGCAAAACTGAGGACCCTGACTAGGGTTTAAAGATTGTGATTTTCCCCTCTTGTTTCCAGCGTTGTTTCAGTGCACCCTATATACCTTAACCCCATATAACCTACCTTTTTCAGGACTTATATAAAAAATCATATTAGAGAACCCTAGAGGTATGTTCCTTAGGGGCCAGGTATGTCGTAAGCTACTGGTAGGAAGCTTTTGCGGGTCCGAGGAGAAGGCAACCAAAGAAGCAGACCCAAATTCGATAAACCCCAAGCCCGAAATCTTAGACCCTTCATGATTTCTAAACCTTACGCCCTACACCCCATGACCCACACCTCCGAGCCTGAAGCCCTAAATTCAAAGGTTTCTAGTGGTTCCTTTGAGGGTTCTGTGGGAGTTGTACGAAGAGGTTCAGGCTGTTAGGGTTTAGGAGTTTAGGATTGGAGGATCACGCATTTAGTCAGAAGGGTATAATTTTAGCTCGCGGTAGGAGAACACCGTTCTGGATACACGTAAGCATACTTACAACAATCATATAAAGTCTCTGTATCCAAAGCCCAAAACTTCAGAACCCTAGACAAGCATTCCCGCCCCTTCAGAAATCACGCCAAAACAGGACCAGGAATTGCCTTCGTTGCCACGCAAGCCCACAGCACCGAAGACGCCCAAAACCATGCATCCCGGAGGAACTTTGTTGGGCCTTTGATTCTTTTCGTGCGAGATTTTGTCAGACTGATTGTCGGAAGAGTGTTGGGCTGTGGATTTGGCTTTTGAGTCATTTCGAGGTTTTGGGAAATCACCTGGTGGGCCAACTAACTACATTTTGGAGTTTCCGAAAATTAGGGCTACCTCATTTTGGGGTCCTTATAATAAGGATCCTACTATTTAGGGTACTATAATAGGGTCCCCTATTTTCGGAAACTCCCATTTGACTGGCGTGGGCCATGGTTTCAAGGTTCGGGGGGGTTCGGGTTTACAGTGTTCGCCCAGGTCATTTATCTTCTTGGCTCCATGCACCCTAAACCCTAAACCCTAAACCCTAAACCCTAAACCCTAAACCCTAAACCGATGTCGAAGACGCAGAAAATTAACCGGAATCGTACAACTGATTAAAAAACCCTTGGCCTGAAACCCCAATAAAGGGAACTCCAGAAAGTTGGAATATGGATTAATGGTAGGATCCCCTATAATTTACCTTAAAGGGGTTACGATAATGATATTCCAACTTTCTGGCTTCTACTGTAAGGAACCCTAGTAAAGGCCCCAAGTTTCTTATCCAGGTTCCTGCAATACGCTGCGGCATGATGAAGAGCCGATTTGGAGTCTTTGCCAGAAGGTAAAGCTGAAAATCTTGTGTTGACAACAAGAAAACACCTCCTTAAACAGACGCACATGAACACAAGTACACCTACCTTTTGAGCCTCTACTTGAACCATCAACCCTAATTATAAGCCCTAAATTCCTAAAGCCTTAACCCTAAACCCTAATTATAAACCCGAACCCTAAACTCCTAAAGCCTTAACTTTGCCCAAGGTCATTCCTGACACGTTTGAGGCGGATTCTGTGTTCGTGGATGGGGGACTGGCTACAACCCTAAGATTGCATCTAAACCCTAAGCCCTAAAGTAAAAGCCAGAAAGTTGGAATATGATTATCCTAAACCCTTTATGGTAAATTATGGGGTATCCTACCCTGAAACCATATTCCAACTTTCTGGAGTTCCCTTTAAACCGTGTTAGGGACCAGCCAGGCGGATTTCAGGGTTTGCAACTTTGATGCGGCTTTGGGTGTGGAACCTATCCCCGGAAAAGCATACAGGCTTGACGGTGTGTTGGTCAAGGGTCTCATTATCCAAGGGTAAAAGGAGGGGCCCTTAATAAGGACCCCTAGTATACACCCCTGAATATAGCTATTATATACCCATTATAGAGCCCATTATAGGGTAGGGGTCCCCATTAAGGGTCCTTCCTTTTCCCCTTTGACATTACAAACGCTGAAGCGAGAATCCGAGACCAGATGCGATAAAAACCTTGCAACTTCTTCAGAGAAAATGGGAGGGGATTGCCAAGGTGCTAGTATAGGGGCCTAAGTAACTACCAAAACTATTTTGGGGGCTAGCTATAGTATAATTGGCCCCAAAACCCGATTCTACTTATATAGGCTCCTAATCTATAAACCCTTGTAGTAACTCTTTGAGATCCCTATAGACCCTTTTAAGGATCCCTTTTAAGGAGAAAGTTTCTAACCATAAAGGCCCCTATCGTAGCCCCAAATGACGATGCAGGGGTGGCATTCTCGAGACAGTGCTTTTACGGGCTTAGGGTTTAGGATTAGGGTTTGCTGCTCAAGTTCCTGCCGATACTTTCATATATCCCATGGCTTCAGCTCTCTCGAACTTGGTGCCTCGGTTTCCTTCCCACAGCATCCTACGCACCTTTCTGGAAGAGAGTAGGGTTTCTATACCTGGGAGTGTCTTTATGATTTGGGGAAGTATCCCCCATAACAGTATCTACCCTAAGGGTCCTAACAAATTGGGGAACCTCAAAATTGAGTGTTTCTGAGACCCCAAAGATACCCAAGGACTCTCCGTAGGAGATTCCGGACCCTCCTAAGGAGAGTGGGATCAAAGCCCTAGTCAAGCCTGGTCAGCGCACAGAAAGAACGATGTTGGGAGAGAGTAGATTGTTTTAGGTTCAGGGTTTGCGCCTGGGACTCCGACTATGTACTTTTTTTGAGGGTTATGATGCTTTATCTTTAACATATAGTGATTTTGGCCTCCACTTAAGGGAACCTGTCTACGGTCTGAACCGACTGATTTGGAGCATTGGGCAGGTTAGTTCCAGGCTGGGCTCTAGGCATCTAGCAATCGAAATGGCGTTTGTTTCAACACGAGCACTACCATATCCAACCCTTCACATCCAGAAATCAGGGAAGATGCTGGAACCAAGAGGAGGACATCGTGGGAACCACAGCTTCTTCTACTGAGCTTGGGAGGGCTGGCCGGGGAGCTTGCGCCAGCGTTGCGCGCCGTCGGCGTCCTGGTGCCTTGCAATGACGGACTGGCTGACTTCAACGAATGGTCAGTTGCAAGGTGGTGCGGTACTTGCACTGCGAACCGCCTGAATCGGGCCGAGCAGTCTGGCAGTCTGACGGTTTACCGGCCTTCAAACTTAGCGCCTTTGTTGGGCCATCATGAAGCCTCAACCTGGCTGAGCGTTCAGTGTCCGGGTTTAGGGAAAAGGTTTAGGGTTTGTGGTTTAGGGGTTAAGGTTTAGGATCATGTTCAGCATCACCCTCAGTCTCATTTTCCTGCGTTTCATCACGATCTGAGCTGCTGCATCAACGTTAGCACCGAGCGTTGTACCATACTTAAATACTTTTGCCTTTGAGGAACCATTGCGAAATACAAGTTTTTTCTTTTCTCCCTTGCTACTAAAACGCCGAGTCCACGGAAGTGCTTCAGCATCGACTCTTCGGTTTCAATTTACATGCAAACAGGCAGCTGGAAGGCAATAAACTCTGATCAGGTGGCCAACCAGGGTTTAGGGGTTTAGGGTTTAGTGGTTTAGGGTTTAGATGTTTCGGGTAGGGTTTAGGGGTTTAGGGTTTAGGGGTTTAGAATTTAGGTCTTTGAAGTTCTATGTTTTCCTTGAAACATGACGAAACACATTCAATAATGTCTTTAGCCTACACAAGCCCTCAGATAGCGGTCTGTTTGTTGTAGGCGCCGCTCTGCCACCGCGAGCAACTGAGAAGCTACCGGCGGACCCGAATCGTCCAGGCAACGGGGCTTCGGAGGGAGGTTTGGGGCAGTTATTGTAGTGGTACTGGCAAGACTAAATATAACATCAGTAGCAACAAAGAATAATCGTACGAGTAATAAAATATGAGTCTTATTCGGAGCCATAGTAAGAAATAGTGGGCGATAGTAACTCATACCACTAGCAATAGCGTGAGTAGGTAAAATACGTAAGGGTCGCAATGCCTGCTGAAATTGTCCTGTGGTAGCCCGCATGTAGTTCACACCTTAGTATAACAATGCTCGAAAACCCTATTGCAATTGTCCAGGGCCCTATATAAGAGGAGGCCTTCGGGCTTTGTAGGTTTTGCGATGAGGGTCTTCGAAGCTTTTCAGCTCATGCTTCAGCAACCAGGCATCTTCCTGTAGAAGTTTGCGCGGTGTTGCTGTAAGCAACCTCTGTGCACTTTCTGGCACTGGCATCCCTGATCTAGACCCCTAGATAATTGGTAACTGTGTAGCGCAGTTACAACATACGGCTGATGATATAAATCCTGCATTGCCCATAATGAGGAATATACCATAATTCCTATAGTTTAGGGTCCTTAGGGTAATGCAGGATTTATATCTTTATATCATCAATCGTAATTATTCTAAACATGGCCCCTGCATTTCCTGAGCCTCAAGGGAGACGCCGAACCAGGAAAGACAAGGTGCGCCGTCTCAAGCATTAAAGGCCCAAGCAACATCAAGTTTGCACAGCCAGGCCTCCCGAGAAGCCAGTCTTGTAGAGCTCAAATCCCTACTGGGCAGGTAGGTGCATCCCCCATAAAGCCAGAAAGTTGGAATATGATTATCCTAACCCTTCTATGGTAAATCATAGGGTATCCTACCATGACCATGAAACCATATTCCAACTTTCTGGAGTTCCCTGTAAAAGGTGCTTGGAGGCTTTCTGGCTCTCTACCCGACCTTGGTTCAGAGTTGCCCCTCGAATCAAAGACCCCAGCCCTCAAATTCTGAACCCCTCAAACTCCTCAACTCCCTTACACCTGAAGCCCCCCAAGTGCCGAAACCCGAACCACTACATTACCAAATGTCTAACAACCTGCTAGACAACTTGAGGCATCCAACCGAAAAGTCGTACAAAATTATGTCCGCCCTTAAGCCCTAAACCCTTGAACCGTAAACTCTTACACCCTCAACCCCAAGCCTTTAACCCAAACGAGCCGCCAGCATCCCGGACCCAGGCCAAGACGTTGAGCGCAGGACTGGCGACGGGTTCGTTAACGTTTCGAAGCTGGGAGGGCCAACAACAGCAATATTTAAGGGTTTAGGGTTCAGGGTCTGACCGAGCTATTGAGGTTCTGGGGTTCCGGGGTTCGATTTGTTGTATAAAGCTTGTTTGTCGTTGCTGTCGCGTGTTACAGTTGTGTTGAATGTAGCTACGTGTTTGTTGTCTATATCCAGGTCGATGTCCATATCCAGATCTAAAAATGCACTTATTTTTAATTAGCCATCATATGTGTGTACACATAGCCATCAGTAAGCCCGCATTATGTACAACACACATATACATACCTACCTAAGTACCTACCTACATACATACCTGCATACCTATATACCTACATGCCTACATACCTACCTACATTGATAGATACATACATGCATACATACATGCATGCTGACATCATACATACTCTACATACACATACACATGCACATACACATACATGAATACATTTAAACATGCATACCTGCACACATGCACAGGTGTACACGTAGAGACAAACACAGACTGACAGACAGACAGACAGACAGACAGACAGACAGATAGACAGGCAGGCAGGCAGGCAGGCAGACAGACAGGCAGACCGACAGACCGACAGACCGACAGACCGACAGACCGACAGACCGACAGACCGACGAACGGACGCACAGACAGGCAGAGAGAGACAGACAGACAGAGACAGACACAGACAGACACAGATACAGACAGACAGACAGGCAGACATACAGACAGATAGGCAGACCTGCTTACCTCCATATTTACCTACATGCCTACGTCAACCTGCACACCTACATGCGCACACACTTACTCACTTACTTATTCACTCAGTCAGTCACCCACTGACTTACTTACTTTAACAGACCTATTGCTCGTTGAATTCATGCTGCCTTCGTTGTTTCGAGTTTTCTTCCCCCAGTTGCTTCCGAAGTGGTGGTTTGAGTGTGCTGCTTGCAACAGGGTAATGTTGACAGGAATCCAAGGATTCCCAGGCTTTTTAAAAACAACGCCAAACAGCCACGCTGGAGGGCGGGGGTGGGGGGAATTGCAGCGTAGCTTACGGGCTTCAGCGGGTATGGTCAAGGGTTTTGGTTTACGTATTTTCTCAGGCCCAAGAAATCATTGTGCACGGTGCATCTAAACCCAGCCTGCCATTCCTTTGATATAGTGGCCTGAATAATTAGAATAGGGTTTGAGGCCCATTATACAACAATTATAATCAGGAGCCCCCAAAATAGCATAGGTAATTGCTGAGGCCGCGATACTAAATCCGAGACCTCATGTCGGAGAGGTTTGGAGTTTGAGATTCTGTGCTGCGACGAGCCTTCTCCTTGGGGTTTCTGGGGGGTTCTGGGGTTTAGGAGGTGCAGGGTTAAGGTTAGAGCGTTTCCTATAGTCTCCATTGTAGTTCCTTTTTTTTGGTTTAACTAATTACATATTAAGGATCCTATAAGGTGACACAAAAAAGGAACTACAATGGAGACTATAGGTTGATTTTCTGGCCCCTATAAGACTGACAAAGGACTATAAGCCTTTCCGTAGGCTTAGGGCCAGGGTTTACCGGTAGATTCTGATCTCCACATATATATAGGGAGTCTGACAAGCAAAATAGAGAGCGTCGTCACTCTGCAAAATGAACAGGTTTAGATCATGGTTGAGCTGCTATTGGCTTCAGTGCTTTTTGGCAGTCTCCTGGCTTTGATGCGTACCCCACGCAGAAGACGGCAAGAGAATGGCCGACCCTGCCGTAATAGGAGTCTTTCATTCTCGATTTATGCCGTTGATCCGCGCGTGCGGGCTCAGTTTCGTGGGGGCTGGAGCAGCCAAGCTTCCCTCCACTGCTTCCCGTGATGCCACGGCATCAATTAAGCACTTTGATGCGCAGAATCTGTCTTCAGTGGTACTTGCTACTTGTCAGCGCCTGGAAGCCGCGAACGCATCCACACAAGGTGAGTGAAATCTTGCACCCTAGACCCCGAACGCCAGAAACAGACCCTTCTGGTTGGGGTCTTGCAAGGTGTGGTCTTGACCCTAAGGGTTCATGTACCCATATAGTATATACCTTGGCCCGAAAGTACATATATAGGGAGCACTCCAAGGCCAACTTATGTACTGTATGGGTACATGGACCCTTTCGGTGAGGGATCAGAACTTCGGGTGTTGAGGCTGCAGACGAGCTCCTCGTGGTCATGGTGGTCTGGTCTGGGTCCCAAACCCTAAACTTTTAGGGCCTCCGGATTTACTAGGACGCCCAGTAGTACCCTTATTCCCTTTTTGTAGTCCTAGGTTCCTTATAAAGTTACCCAATACCAAGAAGGGAGCCCTTTTTGTTCCTAGGTTACTGGGCATCCTAGTCAAGTGTTGAGGGGTCGTCGTGGTTGTCCTGGTCAGCTTGACACTATGCAGGATGGCACAGAGTCCGCCGCGTAGTCAGCGCTGTGTTCGGTTTTGGTTTAGGGTTAAGGGCTTGGGCAGGATCTACTAGAAGTTTGAGGGACCCAAAACCCCTATTACGCCCAACAAAAGTGTTTAACCGGATGAGGAGTAATTTTGTCAAAGAAGAAAGGAATCGCTAAGGTTCCATGATGTATGGGCTCCTTCGACGTGAGATCGCGTTCTCAAAAGCCTCACACCTGTAAGGACTCCAATCGGAGTCCTGGTTGACATGTTGGTCATGGTCGTCGTGGTGATCCATCACTGGTCTTGGATAGCGAATGGGAGAACTTTAAACTTTTTGGCCTTGTATACCAGCTCGAACTCGAACATTTTGGGGCCCGGTTGTTGAAAAAGAGAGTCGTACTGTTTTGTCATCGGCCCTGGCATACTGTTGCTAGCTACGAGCCGTTACAGCAGCATGATTGCATCCTTACCTCTGAGGGAACTGTTCAAGGATACCAGGCTTAATGTAAACCCATTACCCTATGCCTTCAGGGACCTTATTATGAGGTCCTTAAGGGGTCTAGGGCCTTAACTATGAAGTCCTTGGAGGGAGAGGGATTATAGTTCGAATGCAAACGGGCCTGCAGAATACGAGTCTCAGTGGCCATAAAGTGCAACAGTTCAGAGTTTCCTGCTTCCCTCAACCCTATAAACTCTACCTTTTATGGCTTCCTTGTACAAGTCCTTGTAAGGGTAGGTTATATGGGGCTCAAGCAACGCTTAAGATCATTCCATTCCAGGCGCAGCTCATAGGAGAGCCGCAGTCAATCGAAGGTCGGTTGTGGCTCAGTTTCGACAGACAAGATCCTGCGTAAGCCCAGCGGGTTAGGATCCAGGTTTTAGGGTAGCTTTTATTACCTGGAACGCCAACGTTGCTGTTTTTTGCAGCAACTTTCGAAGTTGGCAGGAATTCCTGCCACTGTTTAGGAGTGACCAGAATCTCTATCACTGGCGCGTTCACAGAGGAGCTAGGGTGTGGGCTTTAGTAGGGTTCAGGGGGTTTGGGTTCACTATAAGGATTATATTAGGGCCCCTTATATTCCTATTATACCACGATTACAGGGTGGGGGCCCCTTCTAAACTATGCGTCTATACTGCCTATGACGACAATACGGGATCTTGTCCGTCAGATTATCGCGGGCAGCTCCAGGTACGGAGTCGTTTGCAGGTGAGCCATCTCGCACATAAACCATGGAAGCCCCAATTTCTCAGGGTTTTAGGGCCGCAGAGGTATGCCGGCACTTTGTCCTCAGCCATGTATGGCCGGGCATGCCTGGAGTATGTAT